TTTGCGCCAAGCACGGAGGGGTGCATTTCGTTGCGATTATAAAAGCTGGGCAACCCCCGGTGTGTCTAGACGACGTGGCCTCCTATCAAAAACAGACCACCGAACTGAAAAGGCTGAAAGGGCAAGGAACTCCTCACAATGCCAAGAAATTAAAGTTTCTCTGTATATCCACCTATATATTCGTCCTATGTCTCTTTCTCTCTCTCCTTTCTTTTTTTTTTTTTATCCGTCTCTTCTATCCTCTTCACCCGACATCGACGTCATACCGGCAAACGGAGGGAAGAAAGAGAAAAGAAAAGAAAAGAAAAGAAAAGAAAAGAAAGAAAAAGAAGGAAAGGAGAGAAAGAGATCACTTTGCCGATAAACGCAAACAGAATGGGGAGCAACGTACACGCCAGTTAAATAGACTGCTCCCTTTCTTCGCGGCAAATGTTTCGCAAGGATTCGCTAAACTCTCGTACCTGTTGGAGTTCGATCGATCTCGTCGCGTCGGTTATGATCGGTCATCCTGTATATACCTTCTATGAGAAGCGGTCGACAAGCTTGTAAATCGTTTTCAAACATTCAGAGCACTTATTTCTTCGAGTTTAACCTTCGATTAGTATTGGATCGTAGGCGATCTACAACAGGTCAGATTAAGTTAATTAGTTTCACTTTTAATTCCTACATTCTTACATTTATTATGTATAATAAAAACGATCAATAGAAAATGTATATATGTGTAAAACATAGAGTAGAAACGATGATTAAATAATCTAAGATTAAGTGACCTAATTCGGTGACTTTAATCATAAAGTATACAGAAGTTCGAATATGTTTCATTTAGACAAACATCGCGAACAAACGGGTGAATGTGACGATGTATTGCAATACAAATGAAAAGGATTCATTGAGAAACATCCGATTCGCTAGCTGTTACAGCTAGTCACCGAATCGTTTGCATAATCGCGCGACTGATTGCTATCGCACGTCGTGGTTCCCATCACCATATATCCGACTTCGAAAAATTTAGCAAACGTGTTTCATTCAATTGTGTTCAAATGCATCAACGCTTCGAAATAAGTCGAAGTATCGACGAAGAACAGAATAAATAGATCTGACATGCAATGCTGTCCCATGATTTGAGGGGTTTGGCCCCCTCATCCCTTAACCCTTTCGTGCCTCTAGAGACGTTATCGATTCAGTATAGAATAAGAAAACAACATCAATGGTGGAAATAAACTAAAACTAAATTTTTCCATGAAATTATATTCATAATTATATGATATAGATCATCGGTTGTACCTGATTATAGATATGATTCCGATCTATTCTCGAGGATCTTCTTTTATTGAACAACAGACAAGAAGAGAAATAATTCCATGGATTTTAATATTTCTTTTTATAAAACGTTCGATAAAAAAGAAAAGAAGCTAAATAGAGGCAAAAATCGCTCGCCAAATCAAATTTTCTATATTTACTTGCAACTAAAGTTACCTCAAACAATATGTATACAATTATATAAGTATAATATAAGGATGATAAATGGTACGTAAAAACAAGTTAGAGATTCATCTTATACAGATATTTTATCGCCAGTCAGTTATTGAGCGATAGATTTTTTTTCTTTAAGAATGTAACAAATGCAGATATTTTTATGACTATTGATTTTATCGTATTCGACGATTGTGTTGAATGTAATTACTATGTTCTCTGTAGCAAATCGCAGAGAGCGTGAGACATTGTGATTTTTTTTTCGAGCTCGGAGTACAGAATGTGAGAAATTTTCAGTACGCGAAATTTCGTAAGATATCTCCATTCTCTTCTTCGTCGATGATCGACTCAACTATCGTTCGCCAAAAACGGTCTTCGAGGAAATGTGATTCGTACGAGACTGATCGATACGAAACGTGTAGAATACGCGAAAGTCGTAAAAAAAAAAAAAAAAAAAAAAAAAAAAAAAAAAATTATACGTGC